CCCGCCGGTGTCCCGGCCGCGCTCAGGTGGCGGGCTGTCCTCGCACGGCGGCAGCCTTCGTGGCTTCCGTGGTCGGCGGGACCTCACCGTGGGCGGTGTCCCTGGAAACCGCGCCTGGGCGTGTTCCCGGCCGCAGGGCGCAGAGCCGGGCGCCTCGGCCGCGGCGCCGCTTTGGGACGTTTCGTTTTAGGGGCTCGGGGACTTTTTTATTCAAACTCGCGGGAAAGGGTAGGCTCAGGGCACGGAGTGGGCTGCGGGTAAAATATGTAAACAAAAGTCCGCGACTGCGCACCCCGGCGCTGCTGACGGGCTGACCAGGAGGGCTGGGGAGCCTGCTTTGAGACGGAGTCAAAAGGCAATTGCAAGGCTTCCAAAATGTGGCTGCCTGAGACTCTTCATTTCTCTTGGTCTATTGTTACTAACGTTCTATTTTTTTCTTTTTAATTCTCACTTGATATTTTTTCCATTGCTTTTCAGAGAGAGTGGAAGGGGGGGAGAGAGACATGGATGGGTTGCCTCCCGCACCCGCCGTGACCAGGGCCAGGGATGGAGCCTGTAACCGAGGTACCTGCCCTTGGCTGGAATCGAACCCCGGGCCCTTCAGTCCAAAGCCTGATGTTGTGCCCAGCCGGGCGTGGCTCAGCGGTTGAGCGTCGACCTAGGATCCAGGCCATGGGGTTCGATTCCCGGTCAGGGCACATGCCTGGGTTGCAGGCTCCATCAATGACTTTCTCATCATTGACGTTTCTCTCTCTCTCTCCCTCTCTTTTCCTCTCTCTGAAATCAATAAAGATATATATATTTAAAAAAAAACACAAAGCCTGATGTTCTAACCACTGAGCCAAACCGGCTTGGGCATTACTAACATTCTTCTATAAAGGTGGCTTTGAGGTCCTGTCCCTTTTACAGTTTAGACAAACAGTTACTAGGGCAACCGGTCTCCCAGAGGCTGGGCCTCTGGCTGGGTCCCTGGGATAGTGGGGACAGCTCTGACCGCTTTTCCTAGAACATAGAAACCCACCCAGCACCTCACTCGTTGGGCAGCAAGGTCCTAAACAGGTATCTGAAAATGCCCTGGCAGGTCCAACAGCGCCAGGCTTACCGTGGCTCAGATCCTCGGGAGGAGCCCTCTTCTGCCTTTTGTCACCCAGGGAGGCTGCACACTTGTTGGGCTGCTCACCCTGCAAAGGTGATGATTGTGATGATGCCGAAAAGGGGAGCAGCTGACCCATGAGTCAGACCTTGCCCCAGGTCTGGCATTATGACGGGTGGTGTTTTTTTAGGATGTGGTCCCCATTATGCTAGGTACCGTAGGGGTGGGAAAGAACAGTTCTCACCTGGGGCAGCTGGTGGTTCCTGTGTGTTCGGTCCCATTTTTGTGTGTGTTTCCTGCCAGGTAATTAAGTTCCTGCAGCACCCACAGATTGTTGTCTTTCAGGCTTTGATTTTAAATATCGGGTCTTCTTAAAAGTAACAGGCCTTCAACCTTTTGTTTTCTTTATCTGAATAGATGTGCTTTAATCCCGTTTGTCTAGTCCACCCTACATGTTTTTCTTTCATTCTTGCTCTCCCCTGAGTTAAGGAGACCTGCTTTTAGGACCTGCAGAGTTGATACCCGTCTCTGATCTCAGGGCACCAGGCTTTTTGGTTTTTTTTTTAATCCTCACCTGAGGATATTTTTTCCATTGCTTTTCAGAGTGGAAGGGAGAGAGAGAGAGAGTGAGAGACAGATATCATCGACTAGTTGCCTCCTGCACGCACCTGGACCGGGACTGGGGCCAGGGATGGAGCCTGCAGCCAAGGTTCATGCCCTTGGCCAGAATCGAGCCCGGGACCCTTCCGTCTGTGGGCCGACACTCTAACCAGTGAGGCAGACCAGCTAGGGCTTTTTTTTGAGAAGTTGTCCTTGGTAGTGTGTTGTTCCATTGGGATTGGTGGAGTTTCTGATGTTAAACCAGCCTTGCTCTCCTGGTGTGATGTCCTCCCGGTTCTGGTGTACTGGTGCTTTTCTGTGGTGCGCTGATTTGTCCAGCATCTGGTAGAACTGGAGGCTGGGGCCTCCCACCCTCCAGGAGGAAGGGGCTTTCTGTTCCCATCTCAGAGAACATCTGCGGGACCACTAAGCCTTCCTAGATTTTGCTCCTCTCATTGTTGCCTGTTGGTTTTCCCAGCGGCCAGCAGTGCAGCTTTAACTCAGAGATGTGCTCTGTGTTGTGTGGGGCACTTGCTGGAAAGAGGATGCTAGGGGCCTTGGGTGGTATGGCTTGGGCACTGTCCTGTGCACCAGTCAAGGGCACGTGCCTAGGTTGTGGGCTCCGTCCCCAGTAGGGGGTGTGTAGGAGGCAGCTGATCCATGTTGTGCTCTCACATAAGTGTTTCTCTCCCTCTCCCTTCCTCTCGCTCTAAAAATCAATAAACGAGCCCAGGCCAATTTGGCTCAGTGGTTAGAGGGTCAGCCTGCGGACTGAAGTGTCTTGGGTTTGATTCCTGCCAAGGGCACGTACCTCAATTGCAAGCTCAATCCCTGGTCCTGGTTAGGGTGCGTGCAGGAGGCACCCCATCAACACGTCTCTCTTACATTGATGTTTCTCTCTCTCCCTTCCACTCCCTGAAAAGCAATGGAGGGATTTTCCTCAGGTGAGGATAAATAAGTAAATATTAATAAACGATTCTTAACAAAAAAGAGGGCGCCGGGGAACAATTTCCACTATAAGTCCTGTCTTGTAGCAGGGGAGACCCAGGGTGGGCATGCGCTGGGAGCCCTCAGGAGCCTGCACTAGAACAAAGGGATGGGAGCCAGGCCGGGCTGCAGAGCTCTTACAGCGGGGCTGTGCGGAGGATGCCGGTGTGCGGCTGCCCAGCTGGCAGTTTACAGTTAAAGAGAAACTGGAAGGTTAGCTCCCCAGACGAGGTAATGGCAACTCAGCCTGACATGTAAGAACACACACCGCCTCTCAGGAGGAAGGAATGTTAGGTTCTAGCATGACCTCCGGTGTGCGCGGCCCCGCCCTCCCTGCCCCTCTGCACTAAAGCATGAGACGCTTATGCTGTAAGAGCCGCAAATTGCAGTAATTATTCAAACTTCAAAGGGATTTTCCCTTTTTCAAAAGGACCTTTTCCTCCCCCAAGTCCTTTCTCCCTTTCAAATAGCAGTTCTTCGGAGAACAAAGGCAGGCAGTCTGTTAGGGGAGCACCGAGGAGCTGCCTCTGCCACACTGAGAGAGAATCTCCCAAACTGTCCTGGAAAACTGAGCACTTCACCTGGAAATCAGGTGTTTCAGCAGTAACTAGGAGCAAACGTGGAAATTCACCAGCCCCCCTGCGCCTCCGAGCTTGCTGTATGATGCGCAGGTGGCCGGGGAAGCCATGCATTGTTGGGAGGGCTTCTGGAACATTTCCTGGTGGGGCATGTGTCCGAAGAAAAGATGGGGCTCAGCTCTGGAAGGTGGTAAAACAGGTACTGGGCACCATAGGGATGGAATCTTCCCTCTGCCCCTCGCTTCGGGCGGGGGTGACATCTCCCGGGCTGCCGCCTCAGTCAGCCCGCAGTAGGGGAAGGAGCCCTGTCCTGCGATGAGTTTATGGAAAACTTAGAAACTCGTCAGGACTAGCAGCTATGGAAAAACACTCTTTTTAACCCTCATCGGAGAACATGTTTTTGTTGATTTTAGAGAGAGAGGGAAACATCAGTGTGTGAGGGAAACCGATCAGTTGCCTCCCCGTACATGCCCCAACCAGGGATCAAACCCACAACCTAGGTATGTTCCCTGACCGGGATCGAACCCACAACCTTTTGGTATTTGGTATGACGCTACATCCATCTGAGCTACCCAGCCAGGGCGAAAAGCACTCCTGCCGGCAGTGCTCTTGGCTCTCAGAGCTCCTGAAAACCCTGAGGCTAGTTCATCAGGAGTTACCGTATCTGGTCCAAACTTTGGTCCATGTCTTTCCACCAAATCGTTCATCTAAATCAAGGGGGTTTTTTTGGTTTTTTTTTAAACATATATCTTTATTGATTTCAGAGAGAGGAAGGGAGAGGGAGAGAAAGAGAGAAACATCAATAATGAGAGAGTCATTGATGGGCTGCCTCTTGCGTGCCCCTGACTGGGGATCAAGCCTGCAGTCCGGGCGTCTGTCCTGACCAGGAACTGAACCTCGATCTGGATCCTAGGTCGATACTCAACCACAGAGCCATGCCCAACCGGGCTAAATCAAGCTTTTTGATGATGCCGTGAATTATAATTGACTATCAAGGTGTAATTTATTTATAGTAAACGAATACACCCATTGTAAGTGTGTGTCTGATGAGTTTTGACAAGTGTATGAATATTTGCAGTCCCCACCCCAATGAGGTCAAGGTCTCGCCAGTCCCCTCTGTCCTTCACCCCAGGCAACTGCCTACCGGATTACTTTTTCCACAATGTCCCACAAGTGGAGTCACGTGGCCCGTCCTCTTCGGTGCCCGGCTCTCTCGCTCTGTGTTGTTTGGAGGCCTGTCCATGTGGTGTGTGTTGGTGGCTCACTGTATGCTCAGTAGTTCCTGGAGGGAGGGCGAGTGGGAGGAGCTCTTGTTCTTAGAGGTGGAAACCGTGTTCTGCAGAGCTGGCTTTTTAAAAATAAGGCAGCCCGACCGGGCGTGGCTTAGTGGTTGAGCATCGACCTAGGATCCAGAAGATTGAAGTTCAGTTCCCAGTCGGGGCACATGCCCGAGTTGCCGGCTTGACCCCCAGTCGGGGGCATGCAGGAGTCAACTTATCAGTGAAGACTCTCTCATCATTGATGTTTCAACTCTCTCCCTCTCCCTTCCTCTCTCTGAAATCAATAAAGATATATTAAAAATATAAATAAGGTATACAAGTCTTTCACATTGAATTGTATTTTCCCCTATGAATTTTGGTTACGTTGCTCCTTTAAAAGACAAATGGAAAGCCAGTCTTTTGATTACTCAACGGATCTTTTGATTTTACTATCAGGTTTATCGAATGAAGTCCAGTTTGCATCCAGTAAAATTCACTCCTGACACACAGGCACACCGTGATTTAAGATGGAGACGGTTTCATCACCCTGAAAAGTCCCTTTGCGGTCCACCTGCACCCGTCCCTTCCACGTCACCTGAACAGAGTCACACGCTGAGCAGCCTCCTGCGTGCGGCCTCTTCAGTCACGGGTGCAGCTGGGACTCGCCTGATTGCCCTTGGCTCTGTTGCTGAGCGGTGTCCTCATACAGACTCGCCTTACTTTGTTTTTCCATTGCCAGTGGACAGACATTGGGGCTGTTCCTGATTCGGGTGACTATAAATAAAACCACTTTATTTATTTATTAAAATGTTTTAAAAATTCTTACCCGAGGATATTTTTTCCATTGCTTTTCTGGGAGAGTGAAGGGGGGGAGAGAGAGGCGTCGATTGGTTGCTTCCTGCCCATGCCCCAGGGCACAGGATCAAGCCTGCAACCAAGGCACGTGCCCTCGGTCAAAATCGAACCCAGGACCCTTCAGTCCGTGGGCTGGTGCTCTAACCACTGAACCACACCACACAGGGCTCCTGTTGAGGTTTTGATTTTTTCGATTGGCATTTTCCTGATGACGAATGCCGTTAAGTGTGTTTTTATGTGTTTATTTGCTGTCTGTGTAACTTCAGAGAAATATTTAGATATTTTGCCCAGTTTTTAATTGGATTGTTTTTATTATTGCGTGTTGAGGAATCTATAAATTCCTGAACAAGACCTCTTCCAAGTTTGCATATGTTCTCTTCAGTCTGTGGCTTGTCTTCCTTTTCTTCAGTGTCTAGGAGAGCAGAGCGTGCTAACTGGTCAAGGCTGGTCCATCCATTTGTGTGGTTTTTTTATGGGTTGCATTTTTGGTGTTGAAATCTTTGCCTAATCTACAGTTGTACAGTCTTTTGCATTTTACAAGTTTTATAGTTTTAGATTTTACATTTAGGTCTTTGATCATTTTGAGTTAATTTTTGCATATGGTGCAAAGTGTGCAGGTTGAGATTCTTGTTTTGTGTGAGGGTGTTAAGTTATCCCAGCACCTGTGTTGAATATGTTTGGTATAGTGTCTATGTTAATAATATTTATTATAGTTCTTTAAAAAGAGGACGCTGGCTAGGGACTGTCACAAATCTGGACTTTTATAACACCGTAGATTCATTTGGTTGTTAAATTAGCCCCATGCGTTTTGTTAAAGGTCTCAAGATTCTGCCCTCCGAGGAAATCTTGCCACGACTGGATAGGACCCCCAGATAAATATTCAAACCTTCGCCCCATTCACTTCCACATCCCTGAAGACGAATCCCCACTGGAACAAAAGCTCAGAGAATTAAGACAAGAAACACAAGAATGGAACCAGCAGTTCTGGGCAAACCAGAATTTGACTTTCCACAAGGTAAGCTTAGGCTTCAGGTCAGGATGAGCAATGACACTGTTGGCCACTTGGGGGCGGTAAGTCTTTAGCGTTTGCTTTGCCTTTGGTTCAGCGTCCTGTCCTTACCACATTGATGAGAGAGGTGCCTAGGAACTTAACTCTTGTTTATAGCAGTTAACCCCTCGCAGAACTGGCTTAGTTATGTACACGTTGGATGATGTTAAGGGAGGGCGCGCTGCTTTGGTAGTGTCTCAGGCTCCCCCCCCACATACATGTACATGCATGTATATTTGCATATAATTTTTAAAAAAAAATTTTAATTGGCTTTTGAGAGAGAGAGGGAGAGACAGCGATTGGTTGCCTCCCACATGCGCCCCAACTGAGGCCGGGGATCAAGCCTGCAACTGAGGTACGTGCCCTTGGCTGGAATCCAACCCGGGACCCTTCAGTCTGCAGGCTGACGCTCTATCCACTGAGCCAAACTGACTAGGGCTCTTTATTTATTTATTTATTTTTAATATATTTTTATTGATCTCAGAGAGAGGAAGGGAGAGGGAGAGAGAGAGAGAAACATCAATGATGAGACATTGATCGGCTGCCTCCTGCACGCCCCCTGCTGGGGATCAAGCCTGAAACCCGGGCATGTGCCCTGACCAGGAATCGAACCTGTGACCTCTTGGTGCATGGAATGACGCCCAACCAACTGAGCCACATTGGCCTGAGCTCAAGCATGAAACTTTTAACCAAATTTAGATGGTTGAAAACAGGCTTTGAGAGGCCGTTTCTCAGGAGATCCACACCCAGGCTTCTCCAGAACACTGTGAGCTGTGCCCCAGAGAGGGAGGGACAGGGAGACAGACGGGAGATTCTCATGGCTTCTGGGAGCTGTGTCCCAACCAGGGAGGGACGGGAGACAGACGGGGGATTCTGATGGCTGTCGTCTTTTAGGAAAAAGAAGAATTTATTCACTCAAGACTGAAAGCGAAAGGCCTGGGACTGAGAGCCGAATCAGGTAGCTCATCTGTTTTCTTTCTTGTTTAAGTAACTGCATGAGGAGCTGACAAGGAGAGAAAGTTCCAGGGGCAAGTCACGGCCCCTTGGGGCAGGAGCTCTGAGGCGGCTCAGTGGACAGCTCTCTGCCCTCCTCCTGCTCCCTCTTCTCTCCTGGGTGAGGTCAGCCCTTAGGTGATTCTAGGTCATTTCCAGTCCATGACTCCCTCTGACCCTCCCACACCAGCTCCTGACTTTAGCGGGACCTGGGGAGTCACCCTGCACGTCTCTCCCCAGCCTTGGTTCCTCCTGTGGGTTTACCTCTCGGCCCTTCTCAGCATGTCCACACTCCCTGCCCTCAGACCTCGCTGTGCTTCAGCCCGTTTGTTCTGTGCCTGTTGCAGTAACTTCCTGATTGGTTCCGTGGCCTCCGGTCCTTAAGTCAGGAGCCAGCAAACTTTTTCTGTAAACAGTTGTGTAGTAAGGAGTTAGTCCTGTGGGCCACAGGGCGTCCCTGTCTCACCTGCGCAGCTGTGCCGTGTGTGAAAGCCGCAGCTGGAGGGCCGTATGTGCCAGGGTGGGGTGGGGGGTGTTCTCATGGAACAGTGTTCACAGCGCGGGCTGCAGTGTCGGCTCCCACCTGAAATCCATTCTTCACAGAAGCCAGACTATTTTACCCAAAACCAAACCTGACAGTTGCTGCTCAGCTTAGGTGTTAGACTCCCCATGACTATGAGTAACAGCTGTGCCCTCCCTGCCTGTCCCCCCCTCATATCTGTCCCCTATGTCCTGCATCCTGCCACGGATGCAGACTGCACACAGTCCCCTCTGTCCACTGTGCTGGCCTTTTCCACGCACGGCCTAATGCTGAAAACAGCCTGTAGTCGCGTTCTCTTGCTGCTGATTTGGGCCTAAATAACGTTCCATCCTGTGTGTTAAACATGTCTACTGTCAAACGTTCTGGTGGAAAATCCGAAACCATTGAACCCAAAAGCCAACTCTGTCACTGGGCTAAGGCTCCAGCACTTCCCCGCTAGTCCTCTGCCTGCCAGTCCCTGCTAGTCCTGGGCTCCTCTAGATAAAGGGCAGAGACGTGCCTCTCCTGTCAGCCTTCTCTCTGCCTGTTTATAGCTCCTAAGTGCCAGGAAGCTGCCTTCCTAAGGCTGTCCTCCGGGCCAGGCCAGTGGGGCGGTGCCCTGGACAATGGAGGCCCAGGGGTGGGCGTTGTGTTGGAGGAGCGTGGCTACTGCCATGGAAACAGGGCTGGACACAGTGGAAGGACAGCGACTGACAGCAGGGGGTGGAGGGCCAGGCAGACACATTGGTCAGCATCCAGGAGACGAGTTAGTCCTGAACAGCAGGGAGGGGCATGCAGCAGAGGCAAGGGGCAGTCTGGACTTTATGAAAAGCACAGCACACATATAGAAATTACCAGGACACCTGTAGACCGGCAACGTGACTACAGAAGGAAATTGCTCAAACCCTGAATTTACAGTGCGGGTTAAAGCAGACCCAGGTGCCATCTCTGCCTACACTCTCACGGGGGTGTTTGCAGCCTCAGGACTCAGTGCACTGCTCACAGACGTTGGTGGCACAGAAAATGCCCCGCCCTTTCCCAGAGGGTTTAGCTGCATATAGTACACATATGCCAAGAAACAGGGGAGTTACTACCACAGAATAGCTAAGAGCTCATCCCAGAGGAGATCGTGAGGAGCGTTATCTGTGCGTCCCGTTGTGAAGGCTCGCGCAGTGTCCCTGCCGGCGATGGTGGGTGGCGGCTTGCTGAGGCTGTGGTGGCCCAACCAGGGAGTGTCTACTGGGACATTCTAGCAGTGGAGAAAAGTCACTGACTTAATTTCAGGCGCAAACAGCTGAGTACCGGGACCACTGATCCCATCTCCAAGTTAAATCTTGTTTGTTGGGCAGGCGGTGCTGTGGGAGATTCTCGCCTCTAGTTTCCGTTGTTGCCGATGTGTCTGTACAGTGGAGAGAAAGTGTGCCCTCGAGAGGGTCTCCTCCAGGTCAGCTGGCGTTTATGACACGACCGCCCGGTTTCCTGTCAGTGTGTAATGAGTGACTGTTCCATCTGTCTCTCTTTGTTTGAAAAAATTTATTGATTTATTTTAGGCAGACAGGGAGGGAGGGAGGGAGAGAGGGAGAGAGAAAGAAATACATTGATGGTTGTTCCACTTATTAATGCATCATTGGTTGATTCTTGTATCTGCCCTTACCGGGGAGCAGACCTGCAATTTTGGCATATCAGGAGGATGCTCTAACCAACTGAGCTACCCGGCCAGGGCTCTTTTTTTGAGAGACTTTTATTTATTTATTTAAAATTAAAAATATATATATATCTTTGTTGAGTTCAGAGAGAGGAAGGGAAAGGGAGGGAGAAAGAAACATCAAGGATGAGAGTCACTGATTGGCTGCCTCCTGCACGCCCCCCCACTGGGGATCGAGCCCCCAACCAGGGCATGTGCCCTGACTGGGAATCGACTGGGGACCTCCTGGATCCTAGGTTGATGCTCAACTACTGAGCCACACCCGCCAGGCGGGTGCTTCATTTCTTCCAACGATGTTCTCTGGTCTCAGCGCACTAGTCTTCTGCTTCGTCTCAAATTCATTCCTACATCTTTTGTTCTTTCTGATGCTATTTTATTTATTATTTATTTATTTATTTATTTATTTTAAATATATCTTTATTGATTTCAGAGAGAGGAAAGGAGAGGGAGAGAGAGAGATAGAAACATCAATGATGAGAGAATCATTGATCGGCTGCAGCCCGCAACCCGGGCATGTGCCCTGACTGGGAATCGAACCCCGATCGCCTGGATCCCAGGTTGACGCTCAGCCGCTGAGCCTCGCCCAGCCGGGCTCTGATGCTATTTTAAATGGAATTGTTTTTCCAACTTCATTTTCCAGATTGTTTGTTGCTGGTGTAGGGAGATACAGTTGACATCTGTCTGTTGATCTGGTGTCCTGCAACCTTGCTGAACTCCTTTTTTAAATCAGTAGTTGTTTGTGGGTTCCTTTCCCTTGAGTATTAATGTTTAAATTGAAATTTATTTCCAGGTCAGAAGGCAACATTGAACGCGGAAGAAATGGCTGACTTTTACAAGGAGTTTTTACGTAAAAATTTTCAGAAGCACATGTATTATAACAGGTAGGTGTTTTCTTTTTGCCTAAAAATGTGAGCATCACATCCATATTGGGTAGGATTATTTTCTTTTTTTTAAATATGTTTTTGTTGATTTCAGAGAGAGGGAGAGAGAGATAGAAACCTCAATGATGAGAGAGTCATTGATTGGCTGCCTCCTGCACACCCTCCACTGGGGATCGAGCCCACAACCCGGGAATATGCCCTGACTCTGAATTGAACAGTGACGTCCTGCTTCATAGGTGGACACTCAGCCACTGAGCTGCCCTGGCCAGGGCAGTAACTGTATTTTTCTGGACCTTTGCATCCCTTCTGCACTCAGGACAGAGAGGACAAGCCTCAGCCAGGCTCAGGCAGCACTGTAGCCCTGTCCCGTTGTCCCCACGGATACAGGAGGAATTTCAGTCCCAGTGGGAAACTTTCCTGGAAGCCTTTCTTATTTATTTAGGGCACCGCCTCCCGTTTATAGCATCACTTAAGTGGGTAGAAATGTAAAGATGGTTCTTGCATGGGGAGAGTTTCTGTCTAACCAGGGGAAGGCTCTGGAAGTGGTCATTTTTACCTCTGGCTGTTGCTCTTTTGAGTTCAGCCTGGAATAGAAGTTCATGCATTAGCTCATTTGGCCGAAAGGCACTGGCACTTGGCGTCCCAGCCTCTGAGGGCTTAGCTCTGAGAGTGGAATGTGTTCTGCTGTGGAAACGTGCCAAGCTCTGCCCATTCAGCTGCCGACAATAGGGTGCATTTGCAAGTTTGGGCATGTGCTGTAAGCGACTCACAGACGAGTAGGCCTGTGACTGTGTGAACCCCGGCCCAGGACTTGTAAGAGAAGCTGTGGAATGATCTCTTTGGAGACACAATTGACACAAAAGTTCAGATCATCCAGGAAAAGAAGTTGTGAGGCTCTGTGATGCTGGCAGTGATGATAAATGAGCTCCTCAAGATGGAGGGCTCCTGATGCAAATCAGGTGCCAAGGCCAGCAGGGTCCCCAGTGATCCTGCAGAGCCTGAGTCCCGCCCCCACCGCTCAGTAATTGTGTCCCTCCAAGAAAGCCACTGGCTCCAGGAGGCCCCAGGCTTCCGAAGGCCCCTTTGGAGTGTTTTAGCAGAAACTAGGAGCAGCTTGCAGTGGCCTCCAGGAGTGGATGGATTGCACTGGGCATGTCCGTGTGGGGCCTTGTTCTCTGCCTGGTGAAAGTCCCAATGGAGGGAGGGAGGGACGGACGGCTGCTACGGACAGTTAGCTTTGCTGAAGGCAGAGAGAGGAAGAGGCGGTGAGGAGATGTGGGGGAGCCGGAGGCCATCTGCCTCCTGGCTGGGAGCTCGTGTCAGACCTGGGTTTCAGTCGGGTCCTGGCAAGTGGGTCACTGTCCTGTCCTGTCTTGTCCTCCTCAGGGACTGGTACAAGCGAAACTTTGCCATCACCTTCTTCATGGGGAGAGTGGCCCTGGAGCGGGTATGGAACAAGCTGAGGCTGAGACAGAAGACCAGCAGTTAGGAGCCCTCCCTCCTCCCTGGGAGAACTGCTGGTTCTAGGAGCACGTTTCACAAGGGACCTAAAAGTCTGTAAGTGGCCTGAGTCCCACACTTCTCGCTGGACGCTGGTTTATGTCGGCGCTGGGCAGCAGGGGGGACACAGGCCCTGGTGCTCTGGGGCCACATGGCTCTGTCCTGCCTGGGCTCCAGCTGCCTCTTGGTCACAGACGTGACCCTAAATAAAACCCAAGCACTGTGTGCCTGTTTGCTGCGTTTTGAGTTATACCAGTTTGAAGTAGAAGCACATGAAAAAATTAACCTTCACCTGAAAAGTTTGACTCCTTGGATGGGAGTGGTTTGAAGCTGCTGCAGTGTCACCAGCCTTCAGGGACCAGTGACCACACCCTGAGAATGCAGGTGCCCTGGGCCACTTCGAGGACAGACAGGGAAGCAGGTGCAGCCGCTCTGTCTGAGGCCAGGTGGCTGAGGAGGCACATGGAGAGCTCTCCTCTGTGTGCTCCAGCCAGGTACATGCACTCGGTCCCGCCCCTCTGTTTAGATTTTTTTAGAATCAGCCTTGTTTGAATGGGGTGGTATGGTTATGAAATGAAGTTCTTTGCACTGCATCCTGGAGCCGTGGCCTGTGAGGGGGTCTCACCTGCTGGAGAGGACACCCCCTCAGCAGCCAGGCCACGTCAGTAAGCGCACCACGTGGCAAATGGTTTTTATTCCAAAATGAGGCAATAGACTTGTGAGACTGGCTTTTCTCTATGGCTGATAAACTACCACTGAAGATGATTATCAGGGAGAAATCTCACTAACCGGAGAGAGCAGGTCAGGCCACCCTCCCTGGCTGGTTAAGGGCTGTGCAGATGAACAGGGTGAGCGTGAGGGACTCGTCACCATATCTGTGGCCACCACTTTCAAGCCCAACCTTTCCTGGAGACACTGCCTGGATCAGCTTCCTCCCTGGTTTTCCCCAGTGCATGGCATCCGTGCACCGGACAACGTGGAGCGTGGTTTCACAGAAGCAACTCCACATCATTCACTCAACGAGGGCTGCTGACAACAGACTCTGAGCCTGTCACCCGCATGACACTGTGTGTGTCTGCAGAGAATCGAGGGAAACATGATAACCAGCAGGGTTAGGATCCCAGACGGGCCCTCGGTTCCCTGTGGGCGAGCCCAGGACACATGAGCTGTTTCCTAGCCTTTAATCCCTCCTCTCATCCCCTCACACTCACATGCTGACTTCAAGGTCATCTGAAGATCGCCTTCCCCGAGTAAAGTGCTGCTGGACTCTATAGTAATTCCAATGGTATTGATTCTTTCTGCACATCAATTCGTAAGAGATTGACAGAGGTTTTCCACAGTATCACAAAAGAGAGAGTGGAACAGGACGGGAGAGAAACATGGATCGGCTGCCTCCTGCATGCTCCCTGCTAGGGATGGAGCCTGCAACTCAGGCATGTGCCCCGACTGGGAATGGAACTGCTGACCTCAGTGTATGGGACAGCCCTCAACCAACTGAGCACACTGGCCAGGGCAGGTCTCCTTTCTTGGATTCGTAAACATTTAAGATTAAGTGACTGTGGAAAATGTTACTTTAAATCACAAGTAAATGAGAACAAATTGTAACTGAGGTTATTCTGACCCTAAACTGTGTGCTCAGTTATACAAGTGTCAGGTTGTCTTAAGTGATTCTCTGTCACAGCCACAAGCAAGCAAAGTCTTTCTGTGGACTTTTAAATAATTACAGAATGAAGGTTCTCAATGATGTATTTTAGACTGCTCTCAGAAAACGGCTGGGATAAAATTTAATGCCTCTGTTTTCTGAATTAAAAAGTAAAATAAAATGGAGTCTTCTTCCTCCTCTGTGTTGGGTGCTGTTTGTGGTGTTTTAATTGCTCACATTCACCCACAAAAGGGGAATCCAGGTGTGGCCATTGGAGTGCAGTGGGTTCTTGGGGCCTGCTGGCTCAGGTCCCCGATGACCCTGTTTCGTTTTAATCCTGGTACTGGATTGCAGAAATCTGCCCGGGAGGGTGCAAAGCGTTCTTACAGCATCGCATAGGAGGAGCGTTGCGGGCAGGCTGCGTCTCAGGCCTTGGCTTCCTTGGGTGTGATCACGCACACCTGGCAGAGCCCCAGGAGGGCCCACGTGACCTGTTAGGTGCGGGCTCCTCATAAAAGCTGAAATCAGTGATTCAGTGTCGTCCAAAGGGGCTGGTTCCTGAGCACAGGGGCCTCCTCTGGGGAAAGTGGACTGAAGGCCAGTCCTGTCCCGAGTGGGGACAGAGCCCCAGTACCAGCCAGGAATGAGTAGGGGACATACATGCCTTTGGTCTCTTCCTATCCCTTGGCTGTGGGACACTGCACCTTCAGGATTTGTGGAGGGAGTAGCAGAGGTCTCTCCTGTTACTGCCCCACCCCCCCAATGTCCACACTGGCTCTGGGTTGGCAGCCTCATGCCTACCTCTTCCAAGAAAACTAAATTGCATCTGGTTGCAAAGAGGTCTTGCAAGTTCTAACCCCCTGTCCCTCCCAGGGCACAGCTCTGTCTGGCCCTTCTGCGAGGTCCCCACCGGAGCAGAGCCTGTGCCAGGCCCTCTGTTGTTCTGCAAACTCGCAGGACTATTTTAGGCTTCTGATTATGGGTAAGTCCCAGAACTTGTGGGAAATTGTATGATAAGTTTTTGTGTTTGATACCCCCCCACACACTCATTGCTTGTTTTTATTTTCAAAAGCAGAAAAGGAAAACACAAGTAGCTGTATTCTGCTGACATTTTTAGCAGTGCCTCTGGTTAGGAGATTGGAACAGGGCAGCGAGGTGCAGGCTGCAAAGGAACAGCCTTCCTTACCGAGAATCAGTTTTCCCAAGGGGAGGGGGTGGCTCCTCAGCGCTTTCCTTCCCACTGCGGGTTGCGAGTCCTGCCAGATTCCCTCCGACTCCCACTCCGTCATACTGCAGTGTTTTATTTCAAAGTAATTGTGTTTAGCAGCCTGCATGCCTTCTGAATGTGCTCTAGCACCTTTGTTTCTCCCAAGGTGTTATCACTGTGCCAGGTGTGTTTCCTGAGGACCCATGGTTATCATCCCCTAGCCGGGGAGCCCTTAGAGAAGTGTCTGCCTGGGGGTGCGCTTCTACCCCTTCCCCCAGGCCCCGGCCTCTCCCCACTGGCCAGGTGTGCACTGAAGGGAGTGGGAGAGTTAAAATCCGTCAGCATCGCCCTGGCCAGCAGCTCAGTTTGTTGGGGTGTAAGTGGAGTCACATAGTGTCTGTCCTTTCGTGACTGGCTTGGCTCCGTGAGCATGATGTCCTCAGGTTCCTCCATGCTGTAGAAGGTGAGGCCTGGGTCCCAGTCTCGGCTCCAGCACCTAAGCCCCCTGAGCCTCCAAAGCCACTGACCAAGAACGTGGTCAGCCTTCACCAACCAGGAACATGAGGCTCGCAGCACATGGTAGCCTCCTTTTTGGGTCCTTGTTCACTCTGAACAAACACTCACGAGCACCCACTGCATGCTGGGCCCTGTTCTGAGCAGTAAATGGAGCAGTGAATGAGACAGATGCCCACCCTCATGGGCCCCCTGCCATCTCATGCCCCAGGGTCCTGTGCCTACCTGGTGGGGACAGCCTTGCTGGGCAGTGTCCCAGCTCAGAAATTCTGCTCACCTCACAGACCTTCCAGGAAAGTAATTTCTTCCCTTTTGTGCCTTTGAAAATGAGCTGATCAATCTCCCAAACTGTTCATGCTGCTTCATGCTGCATCTCTAAGTACTCGGTTATTGATCTGCAGTGACTGCTGTCTTCACTTTGCCCTGAGTCAGTCCAGGGTGGAAAAGTACAGACAGAGCTGCTGGAGGAGGGGACCAGATAGAAGGGCGAGGTCAGTAGGTGTCCAGAGGTGGTGTCTGTCTAGGTGTTTGGGGTTATAAGCCCCCTGCCCCCCCCAGGACACACAGCCAAAGACCAGTCTGCCATCAAAACACCCAGTTTGGCACAGGCTGGCAGGGGGAAGGAGGATTACGAAGGCAGAGCCCTGGGTGGGGAGACCCTAGGGAGGAGCTGCCTGTCTGTCCCTTTATTGCTGCATCTGCCCCACCAGCGCCTGCCAGCCGCCCCTGGGCAGATGGGCAAAGAGCTGGGCTGTCTTGTGAACGGTGGGCCCATCTGCTGGAAACGCCAGCTCTGAGCAAAGGAGAAAGACACAGCTGCTCGCGCGGCCGGGCCTCACCTGCCGGACCTCCCCTCTGCACGGGCCCTGCTGCGCCGACCTCCACTCTGCACGGGGCCCTGCTGCGCCGACCTCCCCTCTGCACGGGGCCCTGCTGCGCCGACCTCCCCTCTGCACGGGCCCTGCTGGCCCGACCTCCCCTCTGCACGGGGCCCTGCTGCGCCGACCTCCCCTCTGCACGGGCCCTGCTGGCCCGACCTCCCCTCTGCACGGGGCCCTGCTGCGCCGACCTCCCCTCTGCACGGGCCTGCTGGCCCGACCTCCCCTCTGCACCCGCCCTACTGCGCCGACTTCCCCTCTGCACGGGGCCTGCTGGGCTGACTCTCTTCTGCACGGGCCCTGCTGCGCCGACCTCCCCTCTGCACGGGGCCTCCCCTCTGCGCTGGGTGCAAACCAGGTGGAATCTGACCGTCTGGTCCCGGGGACACAAGCCCAGGGGTCACTGAGGGCGTGACTGCCCAGCCCAGAGCACGTGGCCGCCTCCGTGCCCGCGCCTCGCGTGCGACCAGGGCTGGGGCTGGGAGTGGGGCTGGGGGCTCCACAAATACGCGTGACGGTGGACAGAGCTGTGGCCCCTGGACCCACCGCCAGGTGACAGCGGAGCAAGTGTTACCACCAGCCCCGCACGATTCTCGGAGTTTTAGGTGGTGGACCCCTCGCACCCTCGGCACCGCCTCCTGCCGGCTCGGCTTCCACCCCGCACCCCCGGGGCTGCCAGGCCCCGCCCAGCCGCCGCCACCGCCTGGCTTCTGGGCCCTGCTCTGATTGGCCCAGCCGGCCGAGGGCCCGCCC